GATCACGTGGGCGCTGTACACACAGGAGATGTGGGCAGATCCTGGAGAGCTCGGAGAGCGGTATCTGGCCGAGGGACTGGTACAGTAATGAATGCTGCTAAGAATCTATGTGAGGGGAATGATTTGGCTTCCCAGCCAATCAGCATCGAGCAGGCCGAATAGCATAGATCCAGCTTCCCGGCTCCATGTTCCCTCGCGGCACTGCCGGTCAGAGGAAATCTCCGTCTGACCAGAAGTTCTGGTATCGGAGCATTTGGGCGAGTGCGAGTATTCGGCGTTGCGGAACCTGGCCTTGGGGCAGCAGGGAGAGTAAATCCGGCCCTGCCCATAGGACTGTTTTTTGTGCACAGATGCATCGGGAAAGATGCATAACGCATTAGTTTCCCAAGCGATACCTTTTTACCTATCGAATCTGCCACGGGCCCTGCCAGAGGAATCTTGCACTGGGCCAAGCTTCAGTATCTTGCTAGTCAGCCCCGCTGGCTGGCTGGCAAAATATCTGAGCAATCTGACTGGATGCAGGCACTGTTCAGGTGTTTTGAGAGCCAGCGGGGCAGACTAGCAAGATACTGAAGATTGGCCAAGCTGGAGATTCCCCCATCCACACAGTTTAGCGTAGATGGAGGAATCTGTTGCACTTTTCCCATCTGACCATAGAAAATATGCGGATAATCTATAGGTGTATGGACAGCTTAAAGCTGGCCATAAACTGATCTATTTTTCTCGTTCAACCCGCAGGCTGAACGGGAAAAATATAACCGGTTCCGCCATCAACACTTAGAAGTATGTTGATCAAGGAATCCCACTGTTTGCATTGTATTTTGACAGCGGCCGACGGCCAATGTCGAAATACCCGGCGAGAACCGGCTGTTCATTGGCTGCCGGCTCCTTTAATACGAAAAATTTTCGGCCAGCTCCTGCGATCAGCTGATTGAGGGATGCTGACCAAAAGGGTGTCGACAGCGACACACGCTGTGCAAATTTTGTCCGGTTCCTCAAAAACCAGCTAACATTCGCATTGAATGGTAGGGTGAGCATTCGTCCCCTATTTCCGGGGAGAGTCCCCGGATTGAGGAGACTGTCCCCGGACAAATAATGTCCCCAGGAACCTAAAATAAAAAACATTTTTTTTAATACTCACCTGATCCCTGGATCCACCGACGAGCGCAGCCTCCCATCTCCCACGCTGTCAGAAGCTGCATACAGCGTGCGCCGGTTACTATTTAAACCAGAGCGCACTGTATGCAGCTTCTGAGAAGATACACTATAAGCGTAGCGGGGAAGCCAGCTCTGCATTTTGCTAATAGCACAGCCTGTCAGAAGCTGCATACAGCGTGCGCTGGTTTAAATAGTAAACGGCACAATCTTTATGCCTCTTCTGACAGCGTGGGAGATGGGAGGCTGCGTGCAGTTATCTTCCAGGTTAGAGCTCATTCACACTTTGCATATGCTGGGTTTTTTTTCTGTATGCTGTATTTTATGTTTATGTGCATTTTAACATATTTTTGTTAATTTGTTAAAAGAGAACTATGAGGTGAGTGATTTTCACTCAGCCTCATAGTTCTAGCTGAGCTGTGACAATGAAACTGTCACAGGTCGGCTCAGTAGATCGGGAAGTGAGTGAACACATACCGGCGTTAGCTCACTTCTCGATCTATCCCTGCAGAGAGCCGTGACAGTCACTCACAGCTCTCTGCAGAGATTCCCCCCCTCCCCTATCCGATCCTCCAGCGCTGACTGGCGAAACGGACGGGGGAGGGCAGAGCTGGCTCTGCCTCTAGATAGGCAGAGCCAGCTGTCAATCCCGCAGCTGGGTGGATCCAGACATAATTGTCAGGATCCGTCCCGGCTACGGCGTCTCAGTATACTGCGAGCTGTAGCTTGCGGTATACTGAGCTTTGGGTGATGGAAGGACGCTAGTTTGTGTTCGCACGTGACCCTTAGGAGAACTATGGGGAAAAGCCCTTTAAGCAATGTAAAGGAAAAAAACATTTATAATAGCAATTTTCAACATTGAGCATGTATTACAAACAAATAAAAATGTGATACATATGTGTGTTTCTGCACTGAGGCCTCTGCAGGGTCTCAGGGGGGTCTGTGCAGCCTGCAGAGCCCACCACAGATCCTGCACAGCCTCCCAGAGACCCCGCAGAGCCCACCAGAATTCCTGCCCAGCCCATCCAAAACCCCAGCTTTCCTGCTATGCTAATAGCAGAATATGTGTGCTGTATCCAGAGACTGACAGGTTATGCAAAAAGTCAAAAACAGGAAGGTGTGTGTGTGTTGCCTGACTTTTGCCTTGCCTAGGGCAGCCTCAAACCAAAACACACCACTGCCCATCTCCAACGCTGTCAGAAGCTGCATAGAGCGTGTTCCGGTTACTATTTAAACCAGCACGTGCTTTATGCAGCTTCTGAGAAGATACGCTATTAGCGTAGCGGGGAAGCCAGCTGCGCATTCTGCATAGCTTACGAAAATAGCGCAGCCTGTCAGAAGCTAAGAACAATTTCCTTGGATTTCATTTTAAAAAATCTGGTCACCTTATTGTATGGGCACCTTTAATCATCCCTTCATACATGTGAGATAGAGCCCTTAGATTGTAAGTGCCTTAGGGACAGGGACTGATGTTACTGTGTAGTATGTGTATCGGTGCGGTAGTATGTATCGGGACTAAATGAACAATAACCTTTACCTACTCTATCCAAAACTACAAAATAGTTTTGTTTATACATATAATCGTTTCATAATCGTAATTCTAATAGGCACATACAGTATGCACCAGATCCAGAATGATTCTGGATCCCAAATATGTGATGTTTCCAGAGACCAGATACATACACATCCATCCATGCATCCTTTTTAGATCACGGGTCAGGTTATGGTTAAGGCATTTCTAACAACTCTGGGCCAACAGATTACACAAAGTTTGCCTTTCGAAAAACCCTGTGTTATCTCCGTGTTTGCAACACATTGTTTGCTCATTTCCCTTTTATCCAGTGAGCAGTGACAAAAACCTAGCTCAGCCTCACACAGCAAGCCTGTCAAGTGACGCCCAAGGTGGGCGTGGCTCATGAAGATGTCCACGTGGGCGTGTTCTAGATAGGAGTATTAGCCGAAAGGGAGGTGTCTGATGCAGGTAAAGAATTGATTCTTGCCGGTATCCATACGGTGATGTCACCCGAAGATGTCATCGACTGTGTGTGTATGAAGCAGGAGCGGCCCGGGCAGATCGGAGGTGCGGGTAGGTGTTGGGAGATGGGGCGTTATTTCTCTGTAGTATACAGTGGCGGTGTATGTACACAGATCCGTGCTGTGATCTCTATGAGTTGTGTGTAGATCGGGGTTGCCCTGTGTACCTGGAGGCTGTGCTAGGGCATGGAAGTGAGGGAAGGGCTGGAAGTCCATGATCAGCGAGGTGTATGTCGGCTCATATCCTGAGCTTGTTATTCGTGCGTCCAGCAGAACAATCGTATCGGAATTCCTTTGTTCTCCGGATTTTTGATTGCCAGGAGCCTGTAGTACAGGAACTCCCATGACACAGGGGCTGACTGGAGAAGAGATCGGCCTGTGTGTGTATGGGGGGAGGGTTACAGATCGGGGATAGTTGTATGATGTCCGATCAGTGGAATTCCTTTTCTGCAGAGCTCGGGGGTATTTACTATCACTGCTCCTCCTGTTGCTACTACTGGAATTTGGAAGGGGAACTCATAAACTCTGGAGCAGTTGCCCATGGCAACCAATCGGATTCTCTGTTTCATTTTCAAAGCTTAACTGAACAAACTAAAGAGAGCAGCTGATTGGTTGCCCTGGGCAACTCCTCCAGATTCTGTCTGCTCCAGTTTTTATGACTTCCCCCCAAAGTGTTAGATAAGAGTGAATGGGTGTGTGATACACATCTGTTATTTACTGCTGGATAAGAGGCATTTGCAATGTAAATATTTACATGTATGTAAGTACAGTTCCTTCCCTAGAACTAGGGTGGGGGAGCAGTAATACTGACAACAGTGCTAAAACTATTTTTTAGGTTAAACGCCTCTAAGATTAGTTTTTGCTGTCCCAATGAGCTGATTTTGTGGAGTCCCAACCCAATGAGCTCAGCCAATTCTCGCCACTTCCTGTCCCAGAGGTGCAACAGGAAATGAGAGAAAATCTCACCAAAGTAAGGGGAATTTCCATCTTGGTTGTCACTGGAACATTTGTTTCCATTGGATGATTTCTTGCTCCAAGGTTAGGTTTCTCCTCACTTCTGTCCAGGACCAGTATGAGGGAATCTCCTCAGCAGGGACATGGACAGCAAGAAAAACTTTAGAGGGTCTAACCCTTTCCCATTCTAACCAAAACAAAAACCCTCTTTGAAGTATATCCTCAGCCAACACTTTTTTAGTTTTGGTGTAGGGCAGAGGAAGGCAAGCTTCCGGGCCTCCAGCTGTGGTGAAACTGCAAATCCCATCATTCATCTGCCTCCAGGAGTCATGCCTGTGGCTGTCAAAGTGTTGCAATGCCTTATGGGATTTGTAGTTTCAACACAGCTGGATGGCAGAAGTTTGCCTACCTTTGGTGTAGGGAAGAGTTTAAACTCCTGTCAGTTTTTTTGTCTCCATCCGTGTGCCATTAGGGCAGGGGTGGGCAACTCCAGCCCTTCAGTTCTGGAACTACAAGCCCCTTGAGGCATGGCATGACGCCCAGAGGTATAACGGGATTTGTAGTTAAAGCACAGGTGGAGGGCCGGAGTAGCCCACCCATTCCTGTCTCCTAGACACAACAGGAAATGAGAAGAAATCTCTCCAAAGTAGGGAATAAGCTTTTCATTGTCACTGCAATCAGTCTCCTCATTTTAAGATTTTCCTCCTATTTTCCTGTTTATAGTAACACCTCAAACATTTATAATCTCCCTCACTTTCCATCCTTGTGACAATGGTGACCAGAGAGAGAATTTCTCTAGCACAATACAGACGGCAATTAAAACCTGACAGGGTTGCTAACCCTTCTCTACTTGAAACAAATGAGGCATCTTTGGCTTTAGAAGCACTTCAAGGGCCCAGTCACACCATCAAGAGTGCGTTCTGCCTCTGGAAAGCAACCCGGCCAGCTCAATTTGTTGGGGGGTGGGAGGGGGCGTGGTGGTGCATTGAACTCAATGGCACCGCAGCCATGCCCCCTGCTCACGGTGCGATAGCTGGCACCCGAACGCGTGGCACATTAGTGCCTGCGTTCTGGTCCAGTGCAATCTGCAAAAAATGCTGCAAACACTATAATTTGCAGATCGCACTGGACCGGAACGCAGGCACTAATGTGTCACGCTTTCAGTTGCCGGCGATTGCACCACAGGCAGGGGGGCGTGGCTGCGGTGCCATTGAGTTTAATGCACCGCCATGCCCCTTCCCGCCCCAAAACAAAGTGACCTGGCCAGGTTGCGTTCCAGAGGCCCAACGCACTCCTGATGGTGCGACAGGGGGCTCAAGGAAACGAGAGAAACCGAGACCACCATTGCTGAGCTCCTTCTGAAAATTGTCTGAACGTCATGGTGGCAGTCTTGTTTCATTTCTTTGAGCCACTGATCCAAAATAAATATATGCAGGTATGACTTTCATCAGGATATGTACAAAAGTATTGAAGCCAGCGGATTGCTGGTCTGTGGACGGTTTCGCTCCATTTTTCTTTAATGCCATCGTTCTGATCTGTCAGTACTGTATGAGTACTGTAGTATATGTCAGGGCAAATAAAAAAAACATGCAGTACGTTTCTGTAACGCATGCAAATTTCCCAGTGTCTTTTCCCTTGTAACAGGGAAATATCTATTGACCTGGCAGAAATGCACTCATCTCTTAAGTCCTGTTGTGGGCTGACAACACACAGCTTTTTTTGTGGACTGAGTGGTATAAGCCCTTCCCAGTTTTCTTTTGCTAAACTACTCAAAGCCACCTACTTTCTTATTCCACTCCATAGAGACTAATGATTCTATAACACCAAGATAACAACTAGGTGGGCTGATTAGTAGTGATGGGCTCGGGCGTGTTCGCAAGCGCCTCGTGCCGAGCCCGCCAGGAAGCCGTCAGCGCGCAGGGCCAATCACAGGCATGTTCCCGGTCCGCAGCTGCAGAGATCGGGAAATGTCTCGGTGCCTGTGATTGGCCCTGCACGCTGATAGCTTTCTGGCGGGCTCGGCACGAGGCGCTTGCGAACACGCCCGAGCCCATCACTACTGATTAGACTCCTTGAGATCACACAGGAAGTGTGCACAGGACTCGGGACAACTCCTCAATTTCTTGCATGTATTATTATATTATAGTATTTTTTTGGCACTTAACAGATAAATATAACAAAACATTGTTAAAGGAGAACTATGAGGTGAGTGCTTTTCACTCATCCTCATAGTTCTAGCCGACCTGTGACGATGAAACTGTCACAGGTCGGCTCAGTAGATCAGGAAGTGAGCGAACACATACCGTTACCCTAAGGAGGACTATGGGAAAAGCCCTAACCCCATAGTTCTCCTTTTTAATGGTATATTTAACAGACCAGAAGTTCATTGTTGGGGTTTGCATACACTTTAACGGGTGATATTATTAACTTTGGGGCAGTGCAGGTTTACGGATCATTCTGCAGCACAAAATAGAAAGAGAAGATGCAGCAGATTCAGGTGCTCTGAACAACGCTCAGCAGGCCTAGGGGTAGGCAACCTCGGCACTCCAGCTGTGGTGAAACTGCAAATCCTATCATGCTTGTGGCAGTCAAATCTTGCAATGCCTCATGGGACTTGTAGTTCCATAACAGCCAGAGTGCTGAGGTTGCCTATCCCTGCTTTATACCTTCAAAGTAAATGGAAGATCTGCCATTTTGGAACCCTGTATACACTAGCATGTAAAGGGGCATTCTGTGCATGTCTGATATGTGGTAAGTAGTGATGTGTGCAGGTGAGAAGCCAGTTTGCCCAAATGTGACTGATGCCCTCTACACACAGTCCAATCAGATGTGGCGGGGGAGTTCTGCGCTCCTTTGTGACGTGTCGCTGCAGGGCGGGGAATGCGCCCCCTGCAACTTATTGGGCCGGGAGGGTGTGTCAGTCACAATTTTGCATAGCTTGGGCAAACTTAGTTTGCACCAAGCACCCAAACATTAGTAGTAGAAAGCTCTCCTCAGGGCTGACAAAATGAACTGTGCCACATAGCTCAATATAAAGATGTGGCGGGGGTGTTCTGCGCTCCTTTGTGACGTGCCGCTGCAGGGTGAGGAAAGCGCCCCCTGCAACTTATTGGGCCGAGATGAGGGTGTGTCAGTCACAATTTTGCATAGCTTGGGCAAACTCTGTTTGCACCAAGCCTCCAGACATCACTAGTAGTGAGCTCTCCTCAGGGCTGACAAAGTGAACTGTGCCATATAGCTCAATATACAGATGTGTCAGGGGTGTTCTGCTCCCCTTCGTGACGTGTTGCTGCAGGGCGGGGAATGCGCCCCTTGCTGGAATGAACACGGACTGCAATGTATGTGAATGGCAGTGATGTCTCTGTTCATTTGAAGAGCACTGGCAGCCTCTGCATTCATCAGCTGTATGTATGATCCCTAAGGGCTTAGCTACACAAGAGATATTTAATCACTTGGTAGCATGAGATTAACATCTTGCTGACAATTGCTTCATTCACAGGGTTTCAGTTTCAGTGTGTTGCATATATATTGGTCAACAAGTGATTAATGTAAAAATGGATATGTAACTAAGCACGTAACCCATTTATGTCTCTCTCATAGACAGTAGACACTGCTGAGCACTGTAGGTCAGGCATGGATGGGCTGCTTCATGTTGTCTTTAGCTTGAGCTCTATGTGATGGGTACCTCATTGTGATATACAGGTGGAATAGCTAGTACTTCTCTATAATATACCACCCCTCCCGCACACTGCAACACATCTAAACAGGTAATCCGCAACCCAACATTACTAATACTTCGCACTAGCAGCTTGCTTTACTGCACAACCGCTGGTGTGCGCTGACAGGAAGTGGTGCAATGCACTTGTTTCAGTGCATTGCATTGTTTACCTTTTTTCTTTGTCCCAACTTTATTGAAATGTCACAAAGTTCATTCAGTTCTATTCACCTGAGCATGCTGGAATTCGGTGTACTGGGTTGCACAGAAAGCAAGTACTGCATGTGCTTGAACTGATTTCATAATAAAAAAGGCAGTGTGCCATGTGTATGCGTTAGGCCCAGCAGAGCCCAACGCATGTGGTGTGAACAGATCCTTACAGA